ATTAAAATAGCAAAATATCAGGAGCTTCTTGAAGACCTTATGACCAAATATAATAAAAAAGATAACAAGGAGATCAGCACATTCGGATGACAGAAACTTGTGATCGTCATTAAGATAATCCAACCGTACATCCCACAATTCTTATAAGTTGAGCATCTTTAAGACTTCGCCGATGAAAGCAGCAATAAGGCCAGTTCTTTCTCTCCCCACCTCCGACCACCAAAAAAAACATGCACACATTCCTCTTAGATGGATCAGATAGTTTGTGAAACAGAAAATGCACACGAGGAGAGAAATTCTAAAAGTGAAAGAAGTAAAGAAAAAAACTTTCAGAACAAGCTTCACATTTCTAATGGCCAACTCCCATCCTCCCCTTCAACCTATCCTGCACATCTAAGAAGTCACGAAAAGGAAAAGAGAAGTAAAAAGTGAAGTACACCTATGTATGTATTTCTGTTGTATTTAATTTGGACTCTATTGAGATGAGTCAGATGACCACAAACCTTGAAGAGTTAGGAACACAACATTTCGGTAGAAAATTCTTTTTCAACGTCATGGTCTGATATATAGGGCCCGTTTTAGACCATTTTTTGTGTATAATGCATTTGGAATAGTTGATTGAAGAAGAATGTGTAAATATAGGGCCCGTTTGAGCCCATTTTTAGTGTATAATGCATTTGGAATAGTTGATTGATGAAGAATGTGTAGTTAAAAAATAAGGAAAAGTTTTGGGTTTGCGTGTAATATTATTTTACTGAAGAATGTGTGATTGAAAAAAAGATTGAGAAAAATGTATTTTGGAAAAAATGGGAATCGAACAAGGGTATAGTGAGCGGACAACTGCCTAGTGCTTCCCTACACTGGTTAGATCACTCCCCTTCCAACCTCTCTTGGCTAATCTAGATAAGGGTACAATAGCCATTCATTTTATCTAGACACTGGGATAGATAATAGATAGCAAAAATGGGATACCAGTACTCGTATATTCATGCTTCCCTATTCCTCAAACAAGATCTTCAGGTCATCGGCACTATCGTTTACATTCATGTTCTCTCCTTGTTTTTCTATGTATTTTTTATTTCTTGTTCCTGGTGCACGAGACTGTTTCTGGAAGAAACTTATTACATCAAGCACTAGAAGTGTTTAAGCACGACACTGCAACCCGCTTAAATCTGGTTTCCCTACTTTCAGTTTTGAAGTAATTTCTTTTCACATTCTCGGTTAGATTGTTTTACTTTTTCGAAGCTCACTAGTGTCTATTTTTCAGGCGGACAAGGAATTGGCATGTAATTTTTTAGAGAGAGAAAATTATAAACAAAGAAAAGCTCATTTGCAAAAATCCTATTTCGAAGGAAACCAATGAAGCACTACTTGAATAATCCAAAACCTATTTTTTATAGACGGCATTTCTTTTCATCTACTCCATGTTTTACTAGCAGCTCCTGGCTAGAGTTTACAACAAAGAAACATGCTGCTAAGCTCCATTGTGGATGCATCGTTATATCTAGAGCAAGGCTACATATTTTTCAAAGTGGCCTGAAGCATTTGAAAATTTATTGATCCTGAGACCTCTAAAAAAGCTAGCTTTAGATTGGTAAGATTCACGTAGTCAAAAAGTTTATACAGAATAAAGGTTATATTCTTCTTCTTATTGCTGTCGTTATTTTTAACAAATTACACCAGATTAATTATACAGTGATTGCACAAATCAATAATATAAATATCACATATAATGCGAAGTAGGATCTTAGACCGACACCAGGTAAGTTCAATGACATCGAGGTGGAGTACAAATTTTACACTTTCAAGACTACTCTCAGGTTTCTATTCTATTTATGTTCAAAAAGTCCGTTCTAAATTTCATCCGGCAATGCATTCATGTTTTATTCGTTTATGAATTAATCTATAATATATTAAATATTGCATCAAGTGAGAATCATTATTCAGACGATTTTAGCCCTACCACAATTTAATTATTTCAATAGTACCTTACTTTTCGTTTTTCAATATATATTTAATTGAATATTAATTAGTAAGCATGCATGAGAACAAAGGATCGTTATTAAACAATCAAATTGATTCATGAACACAGAATTTAATTAATTTGAATCAACGAATGTAGAAAAAGAATAACGTATATATATTTCAACAAAGGAGGTGTAAGTGAACCAATGTGAAATTATTTAATTTGAATTAATAGATATAGAAAAAGAATAATTTATATACATTTAGACAAATAGCGTTATATCATAGATTAAATGAATAATATTTAAATTAAATAAGTGTACATGAATTTGAATAATTTATCTACTCCTATAATAATTGAATAGCTCACAAATTATATGATCTTTAATAATTTATATACTTCTAGAATAATTTAATAACTCTCAAAACATGTATACATGAACTTGATGACTTGATATTATATTAAATATATCCATAAATAAATTTTAATTAGTATACATTGACATATATAAATAATTGAATTGTGGTATTTCTAAAATAATTGAACAGCCCCCAAAATATATAAAGTATACATGCATGAACTTGAAAAATTAATTAATTGAATTATAGTAGGATATATATAAATTAATGCTAATTATTATCATACATGTAAATAAATAATTGAATTGTATAAAAAGTTCATTTCACATAAACAATTTTTTTAACTTTTTTTACATTGGCTGATTTTCAAATATCATTTTTACAGTGTTTATAAAACATTTCAAAATAACGTGCAAAGCATGTTTAGCCGTTACTAGTATTTCTAAAATATTATAGCAATCTCAAGAGTGTCGAGGATTTTCAAAGAGAGAACTAGAACAGCTAAAGACAAAGGAAAAGCAAAACTGTCACTTTAAAAGTAGAAAAAGTGACCTACAAGCTAAATATTATGATATACCATACAACAAAAAGTGTGGGGACCCTAGATCAGACAAAATTAAACCATGCACAAAAAATTTCTAACACTTGAAAACATGAAAAGACAACAGGAAAAATGTTGTTAAATTTTAAGTCTCTAAACTTCAATTGAGTACCTTAGATAGGACATCAAGATCACGAAGCTTTGATGCTGATAGAGATAACTGCAGTTCACAATTAAATAAAATGTAATGTCAGGGGAGTCAAAGAGGTTTCTGATGCAAATGCAACAAAATACACAACTTCTTAATAGGAGGGACCATATATATGTCCATCATACCCAAGCTTAAGGTTACGGAATCATGATTGCCTTGTGGCTTAGACAATAAGTCCTATCATATCTTCTCTACCGATGTTGAGATGAATGCATCTCATTTTCCATTATTAATTGTTACTAAGTTTAAGATTAAGCAACGCAGTCAGCAAAACATACATCTGAAATCACACCTTTTGGAAGAAAGACATTTTGATACTAAATCCTGGTGGGACTAGAGGAAGATAATATAACTTCCCAAGGGAAAGTCAACATACCATCCATTCATGAACAGTCTTGATTTCATCATGTCTCACGTTTTTCCTAGGTCTATTCAGCCTAAAGAACCAGATGGGGATCTCACATGCAGAACTATTGAATACTATGCCAAAAAGGAATTCTCAAAATGCCATTTTCGCAGTACACTACAATCAGCAATGGAGAAATCAGGTCTAGATCATTTGTTACAGTAAATTACCATGATTTTTCATCAATTCTAAGTTTGTTTCAGAGTTTAAATACTAACATAAACCAGATTTTCACATGAATACATTATTGATTCCTACTTATTGTTACACTTTCTTTTGTAAACATACACACATATTTTTTCTATAAAGACTGCCGCCACCTTAATATGACCATAAGTAATATCCTACTAATAGAAATATTCAAGCCTATCATCTTTTATTTCTTGTATTTGAAGTAGAAGACTAGTAACTAAGAATGGTTACCCAACTACGAACGGTTACCCACACAGTCACCACGTCCCTCAAACCATTAAAATTACATCCCTCTAAGAAGTTACTATAGAAAATTCACATGTGGCATGCTCTACAAGAATGCTTCAGTTTTCAATCTGAAGATAAGTTGAGGACCTTGAGGTATTACAAATAAGCTGCATGGCCTGCATGGTTCCCGAAGTAAGGGAATTTCAAAATCGAGATCTGGACCATCTGACAGTAAAGCCCAAGGTATCAAAAAAATTATTGTCTCTCTTTGCCACATCAATAGTGCACTTTGTCCTTGAATTAGACAATACATGAAGAGTACTCCATTGTGGTGGGGTAATGCAGCTGTGATTGTCCCTGCAACGTGCCTTACAGACAAAACTTTACCAAAAAATATATATTCTGTCAACTACTTCAGCAACATATATTAATGTTAATTACCCGTTGCCCGTCTAGATTATTGAATGTGTACTATTTGAATTCTATCAGCTGTTAGATAAATTAATTGAATAGGCTTGCCCAAACATTTTAAAAATCCCTATCGTCACGAACATTGGATTCATAAAATAATCCTTTTATTCCTGTTATAATACTATAAATAAAACCTCCCTTGTCTCACTGGATTGCTCAATTATACCCCGTGAATAAGTCCTGGAATCAACCCCAAGCACTATTCGTACTTAGTTCGAGAATCCTTTGCAATCAAGACCTTTTATCACCTAGCAATGGACTCCAGGATCTGCCCTGAGCACTAATATTCTAGAACTTATTTCGAGAAACCCTAACTAAAAAGATGCAAGCACGTTATATATACACATATTTATACACGTATGTTTATGTACCTCCATTTGTGTAAAAAGACCATGGAGGCCTTTTGTTCTGAAGAAAAGGTCCACGGCATCATTGTGGCCGGCACCACCGCCGGCATTCTGGGCCCTCTGGTGGCTCCCACCGCTACCGCCTACGGCCTGCTTACCACCATCTAAATCAGAAAAGCAATTACCCATGATTCAGAATCAAAACCTATATGTCGCTATAAATCTTTGGAAAACCCAAAAGCCTCCCAGGCTTTAATAAGGGAGAGAACCCGCAATGTTTCCTGGAAATTCACGCGTTAATCCCAAATTAGATACAATTACTCTATTTAGAATAATTCAAATTCGCATTCCCCTAGAATTCATCGAAATGGAACTAAATATTAATACTTCCCAGTTGTCACGATTAAATTTATTGTTGTTAAATCCTTAATCAAATTGATCTCTTCAAGCAAAGTCTTCATTTTAACGTGTAGAAGATGCGAGTACATTATCCGGAAATGATATCGATGAAAATTGCAAGTTAAAAGAAGGTTTGGCATAATGCTTTGAAGTCTTATTTTAAACGTCATGATTTGAACGTCACGTGTATGACATACGTGAGGAGATGGTCAATTCTACAAGTACAACAACCTCAACTATAAAGCCCATGTTTGACCAAAAAAATAAAAAAAATGAAAAAAAAAATCATGTGTTTTAATAATGATTTTTACGAGAATGTGTAGTTAAAGAGTAGAAAAAAGTTTAGATTTATGTATAGAATATCTTATTGTGTGAATGTATGGATGAAAATGAGTAGGTTACATGGATATAAAATCACATTTTACCTCATTGTCATACCTTAAAAAATATTCTTTAGAATCTAGAAGTATACATCATAACATGCTTTGAGGTGTTCCGTGCTAAGTCTTCATTTTATCGTATAACCCTCATATATAGCTATAGGAGCGTCGACGGGCAGAACTTGGTTGGACAACCTAGTATCCATAGTTTTATGAAGGCATATTCTAAGGGCATTTGTGGCATCTATTGCGGAACTTGTAGATTCAATATTTGTTTGGTAAAGATTTTTTTTTTAAAAAAAAATAAAATTACTTACAATCACTTATTTATGAGACTCATAATTTGTTCTTCATTTGGTTTTGGATTTTGGTTCGATTTGATGGGAGAAGATGATGAAAAAGAAAGAAGGGTTGGGGAAGAAAATGGTGGTGGTGGTGGTGGTGGTGAGAGTGGGTTTCGTGGTAGTGGGCAACGACGGCGTTGGGTGGTGTGGCTATGAATTTGGTTTTGACGGTAGGGAACGGGGTTCGGGGTGGGAGAGGAAGATGAGGTTTTTGTTTTTTTTTTTAAATTTAATTATTTAATGTGAGAAAATATATAGTTACTAATTTAACCTTCTAAAGCCCCTGTTTGAATCTCGTTTTTTTCTCTTTTTTTGTCAAAACTCGTTTTGCTACAGGAAAAAAATATGACACGCAACCCACCTACTCATTTTGTGTCAGATGGCCCATGTAATATTTTATTACCTTTGCCTCACAATTCCCCTTTTTGTCCTCATTTGAAATTGTGTACAAATTTGTACAGGAACCAATTTGAAGGGTATTTATGGAAGGAAAGATAATTTATACTGCAATGGGTCAAATCTGTCCTTTTCTTCCTGCTGTTGTCGGCTGAAATTGTAAGGGATTTGTACATGGGTCCCACGCATACTGCAAATTACCGTTAAAAAATGGAAAAAATACGGGTGCCAAACAAGTACAAAATTTGTCAAAATACAAATTCTTTTGTCAACTAACGGACTTATGGATGGATNGGGCCCCACGCATACTGCAAATTACCGTTAAAAAATGGAAAAAATACGGGTGCCAAACAAGTACAAAATTTGTCAAAATACAAATTCTTTTGTCAACTAACGGACTTATGGATGGATTCCATCCATTTGTCGTACAACCGCATACACTTAAAAGGTTTGGGACCCCGAATGCAAAAATAAAAGGTTAAGATAAGAGGTACAAAGATTTTGAAAGGTTTGAAACCTCAACTACAATTATTCCTTAAAAAAATTGAAGACAGTTGTCACATTTACGATAGGACATCCTGTTTGAATTTACCATAACAAAAATATTTTTTAAAATGGCTTAAATACCTACATACAATTTGTCCCCGAAAATTGCAGCAAGGAAAAACTACGTATATTCAATGAACGGGACCACTTTATTAGTTGGAAGTGTAGGCCTAATCTTAGAGCATCTTTACGAAAACAAGACTCTTTATAAATATAATAAGATGTTTTCTATATTAAAAAGTCAACATTTAAATTATGCACAAAAAGACTCTTTAATCTAACATTTTAAAATAGAGTGATTTTGTATCTCCAATGCATTCAAAGTATTTCAAGAAAAATAATATAATAATTTGAAAATTTTGTAACGCCTAGGCATTATGCATAGGCTCTCGATTTCGGATGAAAATTTTCTATAGGTAGCACTTAAGCGCTTGATCTCTGTAAAAATTCTCCAAAAGTTAGGTTTTGCAGATGTGCAATTTGATCCCCAAATTCGATTCTCATTTTCTCTTGTAATTTCGGCCTTTTAACTTGAAATTGCATCCAATTGAACCCGTAACATCTTCAATATTCATTTTTGTGGTCCGAAACAACTATTAAAAAGTTCCTAATTTTGGATTTCACCATTTTTCCCTTTTTGCTATTTTCTCTTGTATCTTTCAATACCACGTCCAATAATCGAATTTCACCAAATAAACGAAATATTCAATGAATTAGGCTCAAAATAATTATTAAATGTCTATATTTTTAGGTCCGAATAAGTGTATAAAATACAATTATCATTTTACAAATGGAATGGGTTAAAAAGTGATGGATTCATTTAAATATATAATTAAAATGAAGTTTAATTAATTTTATAATTTATTGAAATGGTTATGTATGGATGTATACTAATGTTTTCAATCAATTTTTTGACGGACCTATTCTTAACCTTCGATTTTAGTTCCGCATTTAATTCTTATGTCAATCGTAATTATAAGTTCCGTTAAAAGACAATTTTATCCTCACATTTATTTAAAACAAAATAATTAAATAAGAAAGTAAAATAATCCCTAGCACATCGCCCATCCCCATCCTCTACCTACATTTTGTGTGAAACTTCGATCCAAATATATCTTTTTGCCCCATACATTTGGAAAGTATTTATAAATGACTTAAATTATAAATTAATAAAAATTTATGATGTATATGATTAAAAATGTTTTCATTGAATATAAATAATTTATAAACATTATCCAAATATGGACTAAGAGTAAATTGCATCCCCACTACAAAACTCTAAACCAATAAAAAATAAATAAAAATGAGGAAGAATTCCAAATGTTGCCAAAGTAATCCAAAAGCTGAACATTCTACAGAAACAAGTAATCATAATTTTCATTCACTATGCAAAATGTTCATAAAATAAACAAACACATTTATTTGATTTTTGATTTAATTATTTTGTTATAGAAAAAAAAAATATATATATATATATATATATATATATATATATACCATTTTGTCCTTTTAAAATTGGTCAAAATTAAGTCCTCCATTTATCCTCGAACTGGAATTGAGACAAAAGATTTGTAATGATCGATACAAAAACAAAAAGTTTTGGTACTACCGATTCAAAAATAAAAAAAAATTAGGTATAAACTACAATAAATTTAAAGGTTTGTGATCCCACTACAATTCTCCCTTAGAATAACAAGTACGTAAGCCACTATACAAAATTTGATTATTCTACTTGGCTAGAGCCGTGGCCATCCAGTGGGTGCCACATGGTCCCCTGGATGGCCAGGGCCCGCTTAGCAATTTCTCTATGCATAATGATGGTTGTACGGGGCAATATGTGCCCCTAGTAGTACGGGACACGTGGCTTTGTACGATCAGCATTACTCTTTTTGTAATCTAGACAAAAGTCGTTTCATTGACTACTGACTTATCTTATCCTCGAAATATGAGTCACCATTCTACGTGTATGTTCCACCCAACGCAAGCTTATTAAGTCTATGTTTGGTTGGTTAAAAGTTTGAATTAAAATTAAAATTAAAATGAAAAATTAATTTTAACTATATATTTTGTGAGATTCGTGTGACTAACATATAATTAAGAGTTTTAACTGAAAAAGACCAGCTTACACTCACTCATTTAAAACAAAAAATAAAATAAAAAATGAGTAAATTAATAAGAAAATAGAATAATCCCTCCCTACGTCTCCACATTAACCAGCAACCACCATCTAAAAGCCAATTTATAGTTTCCTTCGCCTCCCCTACCATGTAGAATACAATTTTGCATTTTAATTTGAATCATATATATTATTTTGCTCCTAATGTTTCTTAGTCCCCGTTTGGCGGCGATTTTTTTTTTTTTTGGGAAAAACATTGTTTTTAATAGTGATTTTTTTAAGAATGTGTGGTTAAAAAGTAGAAAAAAGAATTTTTAGTTTACGTGTGGAATATTTTATTGTGTGAATATGTGATTGAAAATTAGTATGTAGAAAAAAAGATTTTTGTAAAAATGAGATACAAATATCAACTTAATAACTTTTATGCAATCAACGGTTGTAATACTCTAAAAAATAAATGCACCCAAGTGTTGACAAAAATTCAAAATATGTAAATTCCGAACTTGGTTAATTAGAGGAAATACAAGGAAATAGCCGGTTGACCCCTCCATATTTCCATTATGGTCTTGTACCATTAAAAAAAAAAAGTTAAAAGTTAAAATTATTAAGTTAAATATCAAAACTAAAATATACCCTCATCTTCGACCAAGTATTTGAGTGGAGAGGAAAAAAGAAATTTCAAAAAAATTCACATAGTCTAACTGTCGGGATCCGATGAAGAAATCATCTTCACAGTCAACCCAACACCGATCACAACACAATTCAACCATTATTTTCAACAAGGTTAATTTTTTTGGGATTATGATATTGATTTTTCATTTATTATGTTTTAAAAATTCGTGGATTTCTGATATTTATAATATTCATTCTTCATTATTTATGCAGATTATTGAGTGTAGATATGATTTAAGTGTTTATATTCTTTATTTAATTTTTATAATATCATTTTATTTTATTTGTTTTCTTTTTATTATAATTTTTTTTGAAATAGTTTTAAAATTTCTTAAT